CAAGTGAAAGGCGAAAGGTCAGAAACAATATGAAGACTTCAAGTCAACGTAAAAAATATATCCAATGTCATCAACAGTTGTTAAGTATATTCTCCAAAAAGTCCTTGAGTCCTAAGAAACCAGAAACCACCAGAAACATATGGGTGGCCTGGTCTCCAAGTCATGCCTGATCTCCTCCCTGTCAACTGTGCAAGCCATTCTTTTTTTTTTTTTTTTTTTTTTTGGAGACAGGGTCTTCCTCTGTTGCCCAGGCTGGAGTGCAATGGCACAATCTTGGCTCACTGCAACCTCCGCCTCCCGGGTTCAAGTAATTCTCCTGCCTTAGCCTCCCAGGTAACTGGGATTACAGGTGTGCACCACCATGTCCAGCTATTTTTGCATTTTTAGTAGAGATGGGGTTTCACCATGTTGGCCAGGCTGATCTCGAACTCCTGACCTCAAGTGATCCACCTGCCTCAGCCTCCCAAAGTGCTGGGATTACAGGTGTGAGCCACCATGCCTGGCCATCAAACCATTCTTGTGTCAAGAATATATATTCAAAATAGTAAATGCTAAAGGATGCAACAAAGGAGCTGAAAGCTGCTGTCACAATACCACATTTACAAGGAAACTTTTGATTTATCATATTTAAGGTATCATTTTTAAACATTCTATGTTAAAGTCATCCAGGTAATACGATAACAGCTTATGGCGGGGTCAGGCTTCTAACTATACATAAAACTAGAAATCCAAACCCCAAAGCTGCTGGACACTCTTCAAAGTTAGCATAGGACTCAATATTCAGCACTCTGCATTAGTAAGTTTAAAGAAACTGAACACCAGCTTAGGCCAAGAGAACGATACAGAAAAAGAATTCATTGACAATAAAAGCAGAAACCATTCAGTGTTAATAGGTTTAATATCCTTTCTGATATTAATGCAGAACATGAGACAATGATATTCTGCTGACAAGGCAGAAAATTGAACTAAGTAGATTGACATTTACTTCAAGAGGCTACGAGCTTAAATTTAGGATAGAGACAAAGGAATACATAACTGATCAAGAATCTTAATTTCTGAATGACTGCCAGGTTTAGAAGTAACCGAAACATTACAGCTTCCTTTAAAAATATTTTTTCATAATCTAGAAGGATAATATAAAAGGCAACATAATAACCTGTTATTTGTTGGTTATGGTTTTTTCTTTTTTAATTTCTAAATTTTTTGTAGAGACAGGGTTTCATGATGTTGCCCAGACTGGTCTCCAATTCCTGGCCTGACGATCCTCCTGCATCAGGCTACCAAAGTGCTGGGATTACAGGCATAAACCACTGTGCCTGGCTTATTAGTTTTGCTAGACTACCTAGTTTTAAGCTCTGGCTCTTTTTATGTGCAACTTTTAATATGCTTTCTTCTTTCTAAAATTAATTTTTAAACTATATTCTCCTTGCAAAATTAGTTACCAATATTTTTAAAGGCCTATTTGACACCCTTTCAACTTCATTGCCTTTGTCCACCTCTCTAGTGGTAATCTCTATTAAATATTTGGTGCTTACTCTTTCAAATATTTTTCTGTGCATATCTATGAACCTTGAAGGGGAAAAATGTAGTATAGTTGTATATGGACTTAAAAAATACAAAAGGTTTCATACTGGATGTATCTTTAGCCATTTTGTTTTGTTTTCCTGCAACAATGTATTTTGGAGATGGTACAACATTAATATACATAGAACTACTTCCGTTTTTCATACTATGCACAAAATGTCATAGTTTATCTAAACCATGTTTAGTTACTCTCCTTTGAACGATATTTAAGTTGTTCATATAATTATAAACAATGCTGCAAAAAGCATTCCCTATACATACCCCATTATGCATGTACATGAGTTTTTTTTCTTGAGGGTAGATTTTGAAAAGTGAAATGCACAATTTGAATGTTAATGGACAGTACTAATTTACTTCCAAAGTATTTCCACCAATTTATGAACCCACCAGCAGAATATCAAAATACTTGCTTACTCATGACCTCACCAACTCTTGAAATTATCAATCTTGTTCTATTTTGTCAGTCTGATGGATTGGTTTTTTATTTTTTGATTGTATTTCCTCAAATACTAACAGAATAAATACATTCTGATATGCTGACACCTTCCTCTTTTGTTGCTCACTGATTTCTATTCTTTACCTACTTTGCAACTAGGCAGCTTGTCCTTTTTGTTTGTTTCAAAGGAAATTTATTTTATCGGTCTTTTGTCATGTATAGTTCAAATATTTTTTTCTCAGCCTTTTAACTGAATATGTAATGTTTTATTGGAAGGGAATTTATTTTTTAATAGAAACAAATGTATCTTTTTTCCCTTATGACTTCCACTTTTCATGTCATCCTTAGTACTATAACCCACAACTATAAGATATTTTTTATATTTATTTCTAATGCTTTTATAGTCTGAATTATATCTGAACCTTCAAAAGCACCATGAATTTATTTTTGTAAGGTACAGTTCTGTTCTTGTTTTTCAAATATAAACAGGCAAATTTTTAACTTCTCTGAACCCCAATTTCCCTACCTTTAAAACGAGGGTAATAATATCTACCTCATGAATGCTTTAAGATTTTTTAAAATTATGTTCTTAAATTGCCTAGCACAGTCCTTGACATACAATAAATGTTTACTACATTTGTTAGTTGTATCTGAAAATAGTTAATACATATTTAATAGTTATATTGAGCATATATGAATAAATTAACAACATATTTAATACTTAAAATACTTAACAAAAACAGAACCAAGCAGTATAGATCATAAAAACTACTGGTCGGGTCAGGCGTGGTGGCTCACACCTGTAATTCCAGCACTTTGGGAGGCCGAGGTAGACGAATCACGAGGTCAAGAGATCGAGACCATCCTGACCAACATGGTGAAACCCTGTCTTTACTAAAAATACAAAAATCAGCCAGGCATGGTGGTGGGTGCCTATAGTCTCAGCTACTTGGGAGGCTGAGGCAGGAAAATCACTTGAACCCAAGAAACAGAGGTTGCAGACAGTCAAGATTGCACCACTGTACTCCAGCCTGGCAACAGAGAGAGACTCTGTCTCAAAAAAAACAAAAACCAAACGAACAAACAAACAAACAAAAAAGCTACCAGTCAGTCCACACTGGAAATTCTGTTCATATAACAATCAGTAGGTTAGGTCAGGTGTGGTGGCTTATGCCTATAATCCCAATACTTTGGGAAATTGAGGTGGGAGGATCACTTGAAGCCAGGAGTTCAAGAACAGCCTGGGCAACATAGTGAGACTCCATCTCTACCAAAAAAAAAAAATTTAATTAGCTGGGTGTGGCGGCACATGTCTGCAGTTACCCAGGAGGCCAAGGCAGGAGGATCACTTGAGCACAGAAGTTCAAAGTTGCAGTGAGCTACGATCATGCCATTATATTCCAGCCATGGCAACAGAGTGAGACCCCAACTCAAAATCAACAGCAACCTGCCCCCGACCCCAGGGGGTTAGCCATGTGTGGAAACCACAGCTACAAGACATATTGATCATTCTTGGGAGTATGGAAGGTACAGAATGGTTTTAATATTTATTGAGCACTTACTATATGTCAGGAAGTGTTTTAAGCACTATATAGGTTTTCTCTAGTGACCCCTCAAGGTAACTCTATGAGTTAGGTACTTACGTCACCATTTTAAAAATGAGAAAATTGAGGCACAAAAAGGCTAAGTAACTTTTGCAAGGTTCCATGGTGAGTTGGCAGTAGAATCAGAACATGAACCCAAGCAGTCAGTTTCAAAAGCAGTACTTCTGGTCACAGGCTAACCTGCCTTAGTAAAAATCCCAAAAAGATCTTAAATCTCAAGAAGCAGGTATTATTCCTCCAAACAACAGAAGACTCCAGGCTCAGAGAAGAAAAGTAATTTGTTGAAGGTCAGGACATGGAGCAAAATCGGTCTGACCTTAATGACCACAGTCATGCCACCCCTCCACAGCAGTTCCGGCGGGAGGATCTCCGACTGTGGAGTAGTCAATGCCAAAATGCCTTGTCACATGAACAGCGAACATTTACTGGGTGCCTACTGCCAGCCAGACACTCTGCTAGGAACAAAGGCTATGGAAATAAACAAAACACAATTGCTGCCTCCAGGTGTACACGATATATTATAAAATCACAGAAGAAAGGAACCTAAGTCAGTTGAGGACAAAATGGGGCAGGGCTGGTGAGAGACTTCTTCTAAAAGGAAGTGATCTGGCGTTATTTAAGTGAGCGGAGCAGACAGAGAGAGGTGACATTGAGCACATAGAAAAGTAGGGGGCATAGAAGAACATACACTATAAACTGCCACTGGGTTCCACATTACATAATAATTCCCAAATTCCACTGAATACAATTTTCACAGGAAAAGGTTCCCTCTGGAATAGTGAAAACAGAACAAAACAGATGTACACAGAGAATTGTTTCACTCAGCTTAGATGAAAACTTTGACAACACAAAAGGTCATCTGTAACTTGTTCTCAGTTAACCCTCAAATATCAATAGTGGGACACAGTGGGTCCTCATAATATTCCTTACAACAGACACATGATAAAGACGTGGTAATAACTCATTCTACCTGAAGTACAGCAGAAAAATTCAAGATATGGCAAAACCAAAGGAATTTCTATTACACTTACTTTTGTTAAGAATAGTATTAGATTTGTAATTATAGATTCACAGAACTGGACAGAATCGTAAAGACTGTCTAGTTCAATTATCTCACTTGAAGATGGACTGAAACCAAGAGATACTATTATCTATTCAAAGTGAAAGGGTTTCTGTTCAAAGCGACATGGTGACAAGGCAGAACCTAACCATTTGTCTTCAAGGAAGCTACAATGAAGGAACCTTTTAAAATCCATTGTATTTGAAGACTAACAATAATCACATGTGACTTAGCATAGGGCTAAAATAACACAATGCTCCTTTAAAGGCAGAATTTTCCATATTGCCAAAGACTCCGTATGTAGAAGCATACTTACTTCATCAGTCTTTCAATGGTCTGCATGTGAACATTATTATGGGTCTGGGAAAGAACAGCTTCGTGCTGAGCACATTTCAAACAAAGACCAGCAACCCGGTTGGAAGTATTAGCAGCCAGAAGAAACTCTTTATGCTTTAGTTGCTCTTTAAGATCTTCACAAGTTCTCTGATATTCAGCTAAGTCTTTCCTAAAAAGAGGGGGAAAAAATTCTAGAAAATGGCCAGGTAAAATTACGTGACTTTAAAATGAATCATCATAATGTTAACTACTACTATCATTTATGGGCATTCACCTGATGCTTTAGTTTACATCCAATACCTTATTAATTTTTACCATGACCCTGAAACTTTTGGTGTGGTGATCGTAATTGACACGTTGAATATGATGAGATTTGAATATATTAAATAATTAGCTCAGGTTCTTGTAAGATTTTAATATTAGAGTCTGCCCAATACTGGCTCTCTTGTTCCAGGATCCAACCTCCATTAATGCTATATTAACCACAAAACAAAAATAAAACTCCAAATATAAATCCCAAATAGTTTTTCTTAAAAAAGAGGTGGGGTAATATAAGACAACATACTTGAGGTGACGAAAATAACCTCTTTCAAGCATTAACCTCTTAAAATGTTTAGAGTACCTTAAAAGTTCACATTAAAAAACATGGATTTTTATCCTTGATGAATTTATTACTGCCCATTTTTCTTCAGGAGGAAAATATTAGATAGATAATTATCTAACAACAAACTTCTACAAAGATCTGTTTCAAAAGAAAGTAAGTTACAGAAGGAAGTTACATAGAACTTGCCAGTCATAAGATTTCAGGGGTAGTAGCTATTAGCTGGAAACACAGGCTGCTAAAGAAAGGGCTGGGGGTGGGGGGGAGGTGTGAGTGTGGGTGTGGGTGCAGTTTTTGTTTGTTTTTACTTTATCAGCTCACCTCTGGATGAGGTTTTTTTCAAGGTGACTTTTTAAGGATTAAATGACTGGTGCATGGGTTGTATTTTCCTACCTTACCCTAGTAAAGTTGCACTAAAGTCAACTTGGCGACTGAGCTTCCTTGCCTAGATGGCTCTTTTGTACCATTGTTGTTGTTGTTTTTATTATTTTTATTAAAAAAAAAAAAAACTTTCAAGCTGAAAAATGAGACTACTGAAGGCAGGAACTTTATCTCCATCTCTGTCTACTCCCTACTGTCATTGTCAGAGTCTCCATGCTCAGGGGCTATGGCCATCATAACGGGCTCCCTGTCACAGGGAAGAAGTCAACAGCCTGGCTGTCAGACAATTGTTGAGATTTCGGGGGTTGTCAAGCAACCCAGGAGAGGCAGAAAAGACCCACAGGCAATCTAAGGGTTAAAAAAAAAAGCTAATCTAATGGCATTCCAAAGTTGAGGGGAAAAAAGGAGCCGCTTCTACCCTATCCCCAAAATAATAACACCAACGTCGTAAGTTTTCTTTTTCAATACCATGTAGAGAATGTCTGACTTTCAAAGGCTTTATAAAAAGAACTTGGGAAGCACATTCCAAAGTCAAAGGGTCCCCATTACTAATTTCGGTCAGGTCCAAACTCAAAACACTCAAGTAGATTTGGTTACTGGCAATGGCAAAAGAGAAAGTTGAAAAGAAGACTGATTTTATTTAAGAAAATGCCTCTTTAAAGAATCTTAAATTATAGTAAAAGAAAATGAAGAAACAGAAGGATTCAGAGAACAAAATCTAGTTCATTGCAAGTCGGTATTTTAATGTAATTAAAGATGAAATATCTGGATTTTGAATGAGACAAAATAAGTCACATTCCCCTAAGTACAATGATCTAGAAACGTATCACTTTAAAAACTGAAGAATCAAGTCTTTTAAAAAATCAAAATAAAATAAAGTAGGACAAAAAGCAAGAAAGCAAAAATTACAGTAATTTTTAAATGTTATGTTTCTTTGTAAAAACAAAAAGTCGAAATCTCTAGAGAAATCCTAAAACTAATCAGGGTAATCTATGAAAAACATAAGAATATTTAAAAAATTAAACAAGCATGTTCAATGAAAGCTATGAGTTCTGGCTTTTTTTTTTTTTTTTTAGATGGAATATCCCTCTGTTACCCAGGCTGGAGTGCAGTGGCGTGGTCTTAGCTGACTGCAACCTCCACCTCCTGGGTTCATGTGATCCTGCCTCAGCCTGCTGAGTAGCTGGGACTACAGGTGTGTGCCACCACACCCAGCTAATTTTTATATTTTTAGTATGCTTTCTGGCACTGCTTCTTCTATGTCTTCTTCTCAATCTCTTGACCTCATGATTCACCCGCCTTGGCTTCCCAAAGTGCTGGGATTACATGCATGAGCCACTGCAACCGGCTGAGTTCTGGCTCTTAGTATTACTCTAGTTATGTCTCTAGATAGATATGGCCTGGAAGATTTTAAAATTTATTTCAAATTGGACTTATTAAAATAAAATGATAAACAGTATTTGAAAGTTTATTTGATTTAAAAATACTTCATTACCACTATTTAAAAATAATCTTTAACAACAAAAACATTAATTCCTGCTGTCTTTTTCTATTCATTATATGTAAATCAGTAATGGTTAATCTATAATATATAGGTCTTACCGGGATCTCTAATAAATAGATTCTATAAAAACTATGTGAAGATTCATCATATACACTCAAATTCATGACGCATACAAATACTCAAACTATTATATTATCATTACAATTTTAAAATTAGATGAAGACTATCTACAGAGAAAAATACTAATAATTTGAAAACTAAAGTGCTTTCTTTTCATTATTATTTTACTTGAATATCATAATTTCTATAAGAGCAGTTAGTGAGTTAGTGATTCTTTTTTTTTTTTTTTTTTTTTTTTTTGATACAGAGTCTCACTGTGTCACCAGGCTGGAATGCAGTGGCACGGTCTCAGCTCACTGCAACCTCCTGGTTCAAGTGATCCCGGGTTTAAGCAATTCTCCTGCCTCAGCCTCCCAGGTAGCTGGGACTACAGGTGTGTGCCACCACGCCCAGATAATTTTTGTATTTTTAGTAGAGACAGGGTTTCACCGTGTTAGCCAGGATGGCCTCGATCTCCTGACCTCATGATCTGCCAGCCTCGGCCTCCCAAAGTGCTGGGATTACAGGTATGAGCCACTGTGCCCACACATAAACTTTAATTTTTAATATTAAGTTCAATTTTTTTTCTTTTTACCCAAGGTGGAGGAAACATATCTTCCTAGAAAATATTTTCCTAGTCCACCCCAAATTTTGTATTTTTATTGTGTGAATGCCTGCAAAGAACTGCTGAGTCATAAAATTGATTTTCTTTTTCTTTCAAAATTGCATATATCAGGTCTTATCCCTAAAAGTGTGACTCTGGGAAAAAAACAGTTGTAACCCATAAGGTCCATTAGGGCAAAGATCAGATCTTATTAGAATCCTTCATTGTGGCTGTTGAATATTTGACATACAATAAATATATGCTAGATGAATGATCAAAAGTAAAGTTTTAAATCACATGATGATAGACTAACTCCTACAAGCCTCTTGATATCCGGTTATTCTTTCATTCAACAAATATTTATTGTGTATCTAAGATGACGGTGGCTTGAACTGCAAGGAACTTATAAAATATCCCAGAAAGGAATAGAAAAATGAAGAATTTCAATTACAGTTGATCCTTAAATAACATGGAGGTTAGAGGCATTGACCCCTGTACAGTTGGAAATCCATGTATAATTTCTTTTCTTTTTTTTTTGAGACAGAGTCTCACTCTGTCGCCAAGGCTGGAGTACAGTGGCATAATCTCAGCTCACTGCAACCTCCACATGCTGGATTGAAGCTATTCTTGTGCCTCAGCCACCCAAGTAGCTGGGATTACAGGTGTATGCCACCATGCCTGGCTAATTTTTGTATTTTTAGTAGAGATGGGGTTTTACCATGTTGGCCAGGCTGGTCTCAAACTCCTGGGCTCAAGTGATCTGCCCGCCTCAGCTTCCCAAAGTGCTGGGGTTACAGGCATGAGACCCTGAGCCTGGCCCCATGTATAACTTTGACTCCCTCAAAACTTAATTACTAATAGCCTACTATTGACTAGAAGACTTACCAATAATATAAACAACACATATTTTGTATGCTATGTGTATTATATACTGTATTATTATAAGAAAGTAATCTAGAGAAAAGATAATGTTATTAGGAAAATCAGAAGGCAAAGAAAGTGGCATTTTCTTCATTAAGTGGAAGTGGATCATCATAAAGGCCTTCACCCTACCATCTTCACAGAGTAGGCCGAGTTGGAGGAGGAAAAAGACGGGGTGGTCTTGTCTTCTTGGGGATGGAGGATTTGGGAGGGAAGGCAGGAGAGGCAGGTGAATTTAATTTTATGGAAACACGTGGTCATTTCTGTCTCACTTTGTTATGCTCTTTCTTTTTCTCCAAAATTGTTTCTACACAATATCAACCCTTCTTCCATTTGCTTTAGTTCCAGTGCCTATATCATAGAAGGGTCCATGTCATAAAAGAAGTCAAAAGCAGTCTTGAATAATCAGAACCCTTCTGCCAGATTATCTCATGTCAATTTGCTTTCTGGCACTGCTTCTTCTATGTCTTCTTCCTCATTTTCTGGCACTGGTTCAGAAGCACTCATCTCCATCAAGTCATCTTCTGTTAATTCCTTTGTGTGGTGTCTATTAGCTCTCGAATTTCTTCAAGATCCCTATCTTGAAACCCTTCACTCCCAACCTTTTCCACCACATCCACAATCTCTTTCATGATTTTCTTGACTGACTGCTGTAAATCTTGTAAAGTCATGCACCACATTTGGGCAAAGTTTTCTCCAGCAGGAATTCATTGTTATGGGTTTGATGACTTTCATGGCTTTTTCTACAACAATGATGGCATTTTCAATGCTGTAATCCTCTCACACTTTCATGATGTTCTTGCTACTGGGGTTCCCTTCCATTGCGTTGAAAATCCTTTCCATAGAGTATCTGTGTGTAATGAGCCTTAAAGATCCTTATGACTCCCTGGATCTTGAGGCTGAATTAGAGACACCGTGTTTGCAGGCAAGGAGACCACTTTGATGCCTTTAGTGTTGAACTCATGGGGTTCTGGGTGGCCAGAGTCATTGTGCAGTATCAAGAAACTTTAAAAGGCAGTCTCTTACTGGCAAGGTACTTCCTAACTTCAGGGACAAAGTATCAATGGAACCAGTGTAGAAAAAGGTTTCTCATTGTCCAGGCCTTCTTGTGGCACAACCAACAGACTAACAGTTGGTGTTTATCTTTTCCCTTCAAGTCTCATGAGTTAGGAGCTCTGTAGATAAGGGCAGTCCTGATCATAAACCTGAGTACATTTTACAAAACAATAGAGTTAGCTTATCGCTTCCTGCATCAAATCCTGGTGCTCACTTCTCTTCCATACTAATAAAAGTCCTTTGTGACATTTTTCCCCCCCAGAATAGAGCACTTACATCTGCATTAAAAACCTATTCAGGTAGATATCATTTCTCCTAAATAATTTTCTTCCTTTTTTTTTTTTTTTTGAGACAGAGTCTCACTCTGTCACCCAAGCTCGAATGCATTGGTGCGATCCTGGCTCACTGCAACCTCCACCTCCTGGGTTCAAGTGATTCTCGTGCCTCAGCCTCCCGAGTAGCTGGGATTACAGGCACATGATATCATGCCTAGCTAATTTTTGTATTTTCAGTAGGGACAGGGTTTCTCCATGTTGGCCAGGCTGGTCTTGAACTCCTGACCTCAGGTGATCCACCCACCTCAGCCTCCCAAAGTGCTGGAATTACAAGTGTGAGCCACCACACTCAGCCTCTCCTAAATAATTTTCATAATGGCATCTTGAAACTTGTCTGCTGCCTCTTGGTCAACAGAAGCTGCTTCTCTTGTTATCTTGACATTTTTAAAGCCAAATCTCTTTCTAAAATTATCAAACCATCCTTTGCTGGTGTTAAATTCTCCAGCTTTACATCCTTTACTTTCCTTATTTTTTTAAGTTGTCATAAAATGACTTCTTTTTTCTTCTCAAATTATATTAGAGTCTACAGGTATGCTTTTCTTTAGAAATCCTGTACCCACATAAAACTTGCATTTTCCATGACAGATAAAAAGGCACTGGGCAAAAGTATAAAGTTTTTGTGCGTGTTGGCACGGCTGCAGTGATGGTTTCACAAATTTTCTTTTCTTTTTGTACAATGGTCCTCATATTGGATTAGTTTATCTAGAAATGGGGCAACCACAGCTGCTAACTTCAATCTATGGAACGTATCAAGCAATGTAACTTTTTTCTGTAATGTCATGACATTGCTTCTTGGGAGTGCTTCCAGCATCACTAGTGGCACTTTGCATGGGCCTCATGGTGTTATTCAAGGTTTACAGTATCACACTAAACATGATGAAAACTACACGAGAACTGCCAAGAGATCACTTTTTATTGTAATATACAATTTACTGAAGAGACAAACTGTTTACACAGAGATAACTAGTGTCACATGGTATTTTAAGCAGACAACTGAAACACCTGAACTCACCACAATAGCAATAGGAGATGGTTATGGAATTATTATAGTAGTACAGTATGTGCTACATTTAACTTTATGCTGTTATAATTTAATACTGCATCTTTGTTTTTTTGCATTCCTCCTGACTGAGAATGACTCCATGTACAGTCTGTAAGTGATAGTGTTCATAGGTTTTGATAAATTTTAACTTTCTGTAATAGATTTGTGTATATTTTATGGTAGTAGATGATAAAATAGACTATTAGCTACATATATTTTATTCATTTATGACATACCTCTTTCTTAATTTTTTCATATTTCTAGGCTACATGGTTCATTTGCAAGTTTTTTCAAACTGCCACAAATCTCAAAAAAATTTCTGATATATTTCTTGAAAAAAATACACATATAAGTGAACCCACACAATACAAACCCATATTATTCAAGGGTCAACTGTTCATAAATTGCTCTAGTGAAGTATATGGAAATTGAAAAATTTAGAGAGGCAGGAACTCCTAATTCAGCCAAAGAGAAGTAAAGAAGGCCTCACAGAGGAAATGTTAAGTCGTGAAGGATAATTTCCAGTAGAGCAGAAGGCACAGAGGCTGAAGGAACCATGCTATATGTTTGAACAGTAAGTCGATCAGTATCACTAGAATGTAAAATGCGAGGTGGAGGGGTGGTTGGAGATGGGTAAAGTAGGTAAAGGTGGGCCACAAGAAGAATAAAAATATCAAGACTTTTATTTGGTACACATGTCTCCTGTACTTTCCCCCTAGAAGAAACACTGGAGGGCCACTGAAAACTTTTTATCAGAATTGAGTCTTAAATCATAATTGAAGTGTGAAGAAAGGGAAACCAGTAATTACAAATACATAGGTAAGAGATAAGCACATGAACAAAAGCAATCAAGCAGTAGGAATTAAAAAGAAAGGATTTAGTACAGAGATATTTAAGAGAAAAACTGACAGAATTTTATGACAGAATAGATATAGGGGAGAAAAATACACCAAAAACAATCCTGGGTTTCTGAAGTGAGCAATCAAGTGAATACTGGTACTAAAGATTTTTTTTCAGACCAATAACAAAAAAAGCAAAAGGGAATCATAAAAAATAATTAATTCATGGCTGGGCACAGTGGCTCACACCTGTAATCCCAGCACTTTGGCAGGCCGAGGTGGGTGGATCATGAGGTCAGGAGTTCAAGACCAGCCTGGCCAACACAGTGAAACCCCGTCTCTACTAAAAAAAACAAAAATTAGCTGGGTGTGGTGGCAAGCGCCTGTAGTCCCAGCTACTCAGGAGGCTAAGACAGGAGAATTGCTTGAACCTGGGAGGCGGAGGTTGCTATGAGCCAAGACCATGCCATTGCACCCCAGCCTGGGCAACAGAGTTAGACTCCGTCTCAAATAATAATAATAATAATAATTCAAAGAAGACAGAAAAAGAGGTAAAGAGGAATAAATAAGAGATGGGTAAAGAAGAAGCCAAATAGCAAGATGGTGTATTTAAACTGAGTTGTATACATAATCACAATAAATGTCAGTGGTGTAGATACCCAAATTAAAAAGCAAATATGGCCAGGCACAGTGACTCACACCTGTAATCCCAGCACTGTGGAAGACCGAGGCAGGTGGATCACCTGAGGTTAGGAGTTTGAGACCAGCCTGACCAATATGATGAAACCCCGTCTCTACTAAAAATACAAAAATTAGCCAAGCATGGTAGCATGTGCCTGTAATTCCAGCTAACTGGGAGGCTAGACAGGAGAATCGCTTGAACCCGGGAGGCAGAGGTTGCAGTGAGCCAAGATTGTGCCGCTGCACTCCAGCCTGGGCAACAAAAGCGAAACTCTGCCTCAGGGAAAAAAAAAAAGCAAATATTGTCAGATTGGATAAAAAAGCAAAACTCCACTATATGCTTTCTATAAAAACCCAATTCAAATATAAAGATACAAATAAGTTAAAAGTGAAAGGAGGGAAAAGATATACCATGCTAACACTAGTCAAAAGAAAGTGACATTCAATCAAAATATAAAACTCATGTGTTTTCTCTATACTGGCAATGAGGGGTTAGAAAATAAAAATTTGGAAAATATGTATCATTTATGATAGCATAAAAAATAAAAAGGAATAATTCTAATTAAAGATGTATGAAACCTTTACTCAGAAGACTATGAAAGGTTATTGACAAAAATTAAAGATGACTCAAATAAGTGGCGTGATATGCAGTTTACAAGGATTAGATAATATCATAAAACGTTAATTCTCAAATGACCTATAATTTATAATTTAAAGTCATCTCAATCAAAATCCCAAAATGACTTTTGGGACTTCACAATTCTGAACTGTATTTGGAAATGCTCAAGGCCAAAGGATAAAGAACAATGTTGGAAGACTTGGTCTGCCAGATATCAGGCTAACAATCAAGATAGTATAGTATTAGCATAATGAACTAAAACACAGTCCAGTAACAGACCTAAATATATATGGACAACTTATTTATGAGAAAGGTACTATCGTAAAGGCAAAGGACTACCTTTCCAAGAAATGGCACTTGGATGTATAAATACATAGGAAAAGAACAAACTATGACCCCATATACAAAAATAAATTCCAGGTAGGTTGCAGATCTAAATGCAAAAAGTGGAACCGTAGGCCAGGAGAAGTAGCTCACACCTGTAATCCCAGCACTATGGGAGGCCGAGGAGGGTGGATCACTTGAGGTCAGGAGTTCAAGACCAGCCCGGCCAACATGGTGAAACCCAGTCTCCACTAAAAATACAAAGTTAGCTGGGCATGGTGGCATGTGCCTGTAATCCTAGCTACATGGGACGCTGAGGCAGGAAAATCGTTTGAATCCGGGAGGCGGAGGTTGCAGTGAGCTGAGATCGTGCCATTGCACTCCAGCCTGGGCAAAAAGAGCGAAACTTCATCTCAAAAAAAAAAAAAAAGGCAGGGGAGGGTACGGTGGCTCATGCCTGTAATCCCAGCACTTTGGGAGGCCAAGGCAGGTGGATTGCCTAAGGTCAGGAGTTCGAGACCAGTCTGGCGAAACTCCGTCTCTACTAAAAATACAAAAAACATTAGCTGGGCTTGGTGGCATGTGCCTGTAATGCCAGCTACTCGGGAGGCTGAGACAGAGGAATTGCCTGAACCAGGAAGGTGGAGGTTGCAGTGAGCCGAAATCGCACCACTGCACTCCAACCTGGGCAACAGAGTGAAACTCTGTCTTAAAAAAAAAAAAAATGAAACTGTAATTTCCAGAAGATTATGTAGGAGAATATCTTCATGACTGTGGTTGGAAAAAAAACTTTTTAAAAGGACATAGAAAACAACTACATAATCAAGGAAAACAAACTGAAGTTCTAGCCATCAAAGCAAGCAACATGCAAACTATCAAGAGAGTTACCAGCGAAGCCACAGAGTGGGAATATATATTTATAATACATATACTGACAAAGGGCTTGCATCCAGAATATACAAAGAACTCCCTAAATAAATATGTCAGATACATACCTCAATAAAAATAATAAGGATATCTGAATAGGTGGCTCACAAAAGAGGCATCAAATGGACAATAAATATATGAAACGATACTCAATCACACTAGTAGTTAGGGGAATGCAAATGAAAATCACAAGACAGCACTCTAAGATCACCAGAAAAATCGACAATACTATATGGTCGGTAAGGACATGGAGCAAACGTATCACTCATATACTACTGGTAGAAGTGTAAACTGATAAAACCGCCTTGGAAGGTTGTCATTACCTACTCAAGTTGAACACAGACATATCCTGAGACCAAAAATTCCGCTCCAACATACATATGCAGCCTAAATTTGTGTAATACACATCAGTAGATGAAAGAATGTTCATAGCGACACTGCTCACAATAGCTGCAAACCAGAAACAACACAAATGTTCCCTGACAGTGGATGGAGAAAGTCATATGTTCATATAGCAGACCCACCAAAGAAAATGAACAGAGTTCAGCCAATGCGACAACACGGATGAATCTAACAAATATAATGGTGGACAGAAGAAGCCAGATACAAAAGAATACATGCTCTACAATTCCACTTACATACCATTGAAAAAAGAGAACTTAAAATGTTTAAGGATGCATACTTGGGTATTTTTCAGAAAATTCAGGATGGTGATTAGCTTTAAAGGCACGAAGGAGTAGTAACCAGCAGGAAGCATAAAGTGGTGATAATTACATAGGTGTTCATTTACAGATAAATCATTGAGCTGTAAATTTTTGTTTTGTGCACTTTACTGAATGTTACGTTAAATTGTGTCATTAGAAAATATAAAGGAGGAGGGTATAATCAACCAATGTCCACGTTACACAGAGCGGCTACAAGGTTTACAGCAATGAGAACTGATGGCTGGAAGAAGAGCAGTTGGGGTGGACTATAGGGGGCGAAACTCAACTGAAGCATACTGAAACAAGAATGGGAGGGAAAGAAGTGGAGACATAAACATAGACAACTGCTTGGAAACATTTTGGTATGAAAAGGAGAACAAAGATGAAAGGTGATAGTTGGAAGTGAATGTAGGGTCAGGAGAATATATTTTGGGTTTGTTTGCTTTATGGGAGCTATTAAAGAACGTACTCTGCTAAGAATAAACCATTGGCCGGGCGTGGTGGCTCAAACCTGCAATCCCAGCAGTTTGCAAGGCTGAGGACGGTGGATCACTTGAGGCCAGGAGTTTGAGACTAGATTGGGCAGCATGGCGAAACCCCATCTCTACCAAAAATACAAAAATTAGCCAGGTGTGGTAGCGCATGACTGTAGTCTCAGCTACTCGGGTGGCTGAGGCAGGAGAATTGCTTGAACCCAGGAGACGGAGGTTGCAGTGAGCTGAGATTGCACCACTGCACTCCAGCCTGGATGACAGAGCTAGACCCCGTCTCAAAAAACTAAATTAAATAAAAAGAATAAACCACTGAGAGGGAAAAGATACAAGAGAAAGAAAAGTGCAAGGATGAAACCCTTGAAAAAAGTGAAAAACATCTATGACGTAGAGCACACAAATGCAGAAATTGACCTCTGTCACAAACAGAGAAAATAGATGAGTCTCCAACAATCATAAACACAGTGCTAGGGGGAGGCATAAAAGAGAAAGGAATTCTAATGCAGAAAAGGGAAGAGAGAAGGCACGGGAAAGCAGAATGTGGGAGGGCATTTCAACTACACCCTGAAGGCTGGAAACATTTCAATAGGTAGAGAGTAAGAAGGGAACATTTTGGGGAGGGAGGGCTGCATAAACCAAAGCCAGTTCTTCAAAGAGAAATGAAAGTGGATTATAAATTTATGAAGTAGCAACTGGAGAGTGGTCTGCATGCCTACAGATAAGGTTTGTAACAGGAGAAGAGTGAGGCTGGGCACAGTGGCTCACGCCTGTAATCCCAGCACTTTGGGAGGCTGAGGTGGGTGGATTATGAGGTCAGGAGTTCAAGACCAGCCTGGCCAACATATTGAAACCCTGTCTCTTTCCTAAAAATACAAAAATTAGCCGGGCATGGTGGAGCATGCCTGTAGTCCCAGCTACTTTGGAGGCTAAGGCAGAAGAATTGCTTGAAGCCGGGAGGCGGAGGTTGTGGTGAGCTGAGATGGCACCACTGCACTCCAGCCTGGGTGACAGAACAAGACTCCATCTCAAAAAGAAACAAAAAACAAAAGACAGGAGAAGAGTGTGAAACTAGTCTCGAACGTTAGTTTGACAGAAATTGTGGATGACTTGAGACATTGGTCTTTATCCTACGGGCATTAAATAGCTACTGTAAATTACTCAGGGAAGGAAAAAAAGATATAATTTACTTAGTCTTTCCAATTTTCTTTTTTGAAGAAGGGTACTCTTTCCCAAGTAGAATGAAGCTTGGATTAGGGACTAAGACAGGGGAGGGCAACTGGACAGAAAGAACCTTTAGAAAACTAGTAACATCTGTGGATGATAACAAGAACCTGAACTATGATTCACTGTATCTTCCCCTGGAACATTCCATTTACAGTGTTAATCTCACACTTTCATCATTGTTGATCAACTCTGACATGTCACATTTAATGCAAAGAAAACTTCAGGTTACCAAAAGAAGAATAAAGTTCTGTTAAATACATCAAAGGATTGAAAAGTATTATTTGGTCTTAAAATAGAATTGTTTTTGACACTTTGGGAAATTAGGACATTCAAAAGCAGCTGTGTGTACAGGGGAATTTACAAAGTCACAGTATGCCTAGGAAAGATACACACTCAGAAACATTCTGAGAAGACCCTAAGCTTTCATCTATGGCTGATCCCTAGGCTCAGAGCAAGCCTGGTTAAATGGGAAAAGAATGTCCCAGCACAGAGCCAATCTGAAAACACTGGGAGAGGTGGGCTGTTCTCTCTCTCTCTCCCCACCTCGCCTCCACCTTTGGAGGGGAGTGGGGGGTATTTGTTTTCAGCTCTGGGAATTCAAGGAAATCTCTGTCAAACATTAGCTGAACATGAGCTAACAGAACGCAGACTTCAATAATCACACATGACATGGAATAGTCTTCGCAAAAATAGTTTCAAAAAGTCTCAACACAAAAGGACTACTGCAGCCTTCAATAGTAAAATAAGACAGCAAATCCTAGGAAAGAAGGAGTTAAAGATTTCCAGAGTAATCACATGATAGTGAAATGCTCAATTTTCAACAACAAAATAACGAGGAATACAAGGAAACAGGAAAACATGCTCACTCAAAGGAATGGAATAAGCTGACAGAAACTATGCTTGAGAAACCACAGACATCAGACTTACTGGGAAAGACTTTTAAATGACTGTCTTAAATACACTCAAAAAGCCAAGAGACAAACATGGACAAACAACTAAAGAAAATCAGGAAAACACATTATAAAAAGAAACCAAACAGAAATTGTGGAGCTAAGAAGTATAACAACTGAAACAAAAAATCTACTAAAGGTGTTAAAGAGCAAATTTGAGTAGGCAGAAAAAAGAATCGGTGAACTTTAAGAAATGACAATTAAAATGATCAAGTCTGAGGAGCAGAAAGAAAAAAAAAATGAAGAATAACCATTTGATCCAATAAGTCTATTTCTGGGTATATCCTTAAAATAATTGAAACAGGGTCTCAAACAGATACTCGTATGCCAATGTTCACAGCAGAAATATTCATAACAGTCAAAAGAAACAACCCCAATGTCAGTCAATAGATGAATGGATAAAGTTTGGTAATATACATACAATGGAATATTATTCAGTCTTGAAAAGAAATTTTGACACATGCTACAACAAAAAGAACCTTGAAAATATTATGCTAAGGGAAATAAGCCAGACACAAAAAGACAAGTATTGTTTAATTCCACTTATATCAGATATCTGAAATAGGCAAATTTATAAAGACAGAAAGTTGAATAGAGGTTACCAGGGGTTGGCAGGGAGGGGAATGGAGATATTATTTAATAGGTACAGAGTTTTTGTTTGAGATGATCAAAAACTTCTGAAAACGGATAATGTTAAGATTAACATTATGAACGTAGTTATTACAGATAAACTGTACACTTAAAATGTTATAATAGTAAATTTTGTTATATATATTTTACCAGAATAAAAAAAAAGTACAAAAGAGAAAAAGAAAAAAGATGTATAAGAGAAAAGCACCCAAATACTCACCAGTTCTAGCTGCTCACCAGCAGATGCAGCTTTGCCAATATCTGCATTGTCATGGGAAAATGGTCTTTTGGCAGTTTCACCCACCCCAGAATCTTCACCTGTTGTAATCCAAGAATTCTGCATGTTTCCCTAAAACAAAATGTGCCAGTAATTGCAACTGAATTCAACTTTAAATAAACATGCATACTTTACCAATAGAATACCAATTCTTTTTTTTTTTTAAATAAAACTTTATTAGAAGTCTTGATCTTAAATTTAGACATTGAGAATTAAATTCCAGGAGAGTCAATCTTTCTCAAACTATAAATAAGAAATAGAGTGGTTCCACTGTTTAACTTAACATTTCTTTTTCATAATCTATATGGCCAAAAATCTTAAATCAAAAGACATGACATTTAGAGACAAAAAACATAGATTTAAGACCCTACACTGCTGATCACTAGTTAACTGATGTTGGAAAATCACCAAACTCTCTACTTTAGCTTAGTTTTTTCAGCCTAATGTGCATCATAGGGTTAACATCAAGATCCAATAAGGTACTATGTCTAGAAACCTTTTAGAGTCATTAATTTAGAGTCATTCATTTATTCTTTGGATTATATGTGAAAAATTGAGAAAAAGGCATAAGCACAAAACTTCATGTGACTAAAATCCAGGAATCTCTGAATATTTTTAACCTCTGTAGGAAAATGTTGTAAGATATATAACACTGCATTTCAATCTGTTTCCAGGCATTAAGAACAACTATTTATTTGCCTCATAACCCAAATTCATGCTCCCCAATAAAAACTGAGTATCTAACATTAGGGTATAAAATGCCAGCTGAAAGAGTATTCACAACCATAGGCCTAATTCAATAATTTGATAAGATTACTCACTGTGAGACATAGAAAAGATCTTAGAAATCAACCAAGCCAAACTCTCACTTAATAGACATGGAAGAGAGAGAGCAAAATGATTGTGCTTGCTAGTACTGGGCTAAGCAGCCATGTTTCACACACATGGTTTTATCATTCTACTCTGCCTTCCTCTTCCTCCTGCCAGTAGTCTCCTCTCTTCCTGAGAAAATGAAAACTGACTGATTTTGCTACCATAGGGTAAACCAAACTAGCATCTAGAATTAGGACAGATGATTATGGATGGAGTATATGAAATCATGAGGAACAGAAGTTGCTACGTTCTGTTCTGGATTCCTACTATGAACAAAGGCATTCAAGTCTCCAAAATTAGGGTGACCAGCCACATGCTTTGATTTCCGGAGCCCTCTAGGAACTCTGGCACAATCAAAGCTAATACATTACATTGAATTCACATATGGTTCAAATATGTACCTTTCTCTGTCCAAATATAAACCATTCAAGAAAGAAAAAGATCTTTTGCATCCAACAGCAGCTGGGAGAATTTGTTTCCTCCCTAAATATAGTTTCGTTTTTGAAATAAAACCAAGAGATTAACAAACAAATTATGACATTGGTACAGAGAAAGCGAAATGCAGTGTCTTAGATTTGATGCTGAAGTGGGACATTGGCTTTCTTCTTGGAAGTGTGACTTTTCGTTGTATATGGTTGTGAATACCGATTCTTCTCTGTGATGAAAAGAAAAAGCATATGCTTCTACACTACAGGATCTCCATGGTGATAAGAGTATCTTTTTGTATGCTATTAAGATGACTGGTGGCTGGAGTCCATGATTAGAAGATTAGAACTTGTAGCCCCACTCTCCCACCTCAAGCGGGGAAAGGACTGGAGATTGACTTAATCACCAACAGCCAATGATTTAACCAATCATGCCTATGTAATAAAACCTCCATAAAAATCTTATATGATGAAGTTCAGAGAATTTCTGCATTGGTGAATGCATCCACATGCCAAGAGGGTGGTGTACCCAAACTCCACAGACAGAAGCTCTTCTACCTGGGACCAGCCTGGACCTGTGCCTCTTCAATTGGCTGTTCATTTATATCCTTTATATAATAATAAACCAGGAATAGCAAGCAGAATGTTTCCCTGAATTTTGCGAGCCATTATAGCAAATTATCACAAATTATTGTAGGAACCCCCAATTTACAAACAAATCAGACAGAATTGTGGATAACCAACAGACCTACTATTTGCAGTTGGTATCTAAAGTAGCAGGTAGTCATGTGGGACTAAGCCCTTTACCTGCGGGTCTGATACTAACTGTGTAGTGAGTGTCAGAATTGAATTGAATCACTGGACACCTAGTTGGTATCGACAGAGAAATGGAGAATGGCCAGGTGTAGAAGACAACAGTCCCAAACATTTGGTGTCAGAAGCGTTATGAGAAAAAGGAACAGTTTTTTCCCTTCAATGTCCTACATTATTCTGATCTTCTGCCTTTCCGAAAGATAAATATTTATCTTTAGTAAAAAGAAACAGTGCATGTGCAGTGATAAACAGAATTGACATGCAGCCTGCATGCCAGGGATTCAAAAAGGAAGAAGAGTAGGCACTGTGACAAACCACAGAGAGGTGTACTATCCCAAGGAAGCAGCCGCTACTCAATTCCAGTCAATCATCGCCATGTGGGAGTGAAAATTCATATTACCAGATACCTGGTCCTTCATATGAAACATTATTAAATACTGGCTCAAAATTTATCAAACAAACCAAACATGCCTCAGTTGAATTTAGTGTACCCATTGTTAGTTGCAACCTCTGTCACCCTCTCAACATTCAATGTAGTAAGCAGCCCAACGATCTGGGGAATTTATGTGCACAAGAAGGATTAAAATACTTATATTAATTTAATCCAACAAATAATTATTGAACACTTGCTAAGGGCCAAAGGATATGGTAGTAGTCACAAGAGAGGACAGGTCCCCAAACACTGAACTATACTGCAGTGTCACATCATGCTAGAATGTGGTAAACTACATTCACCTAAAGTAGTACTCTGAATTCTATTTCATATTCTTCTGGAAGTTCAGTTTAGTGCAAACATTTGTGTAACACCTACGGTGTTCAGACACTGTGCTAAGACCCTGGAGGACAAAAATGAGCAACATCAATCTTAGCTCCAAGGAGTTTACAGTTTAATAAGGGAGACACACAGCTAGGCAGGTCCTTTCGATATAATAATGTGAGTGCTAGGCTAAAGGTGTGCACAGGGGCCTCTGCCAAAACACAGGAGGGATACTAAGGGCACCCAGAAATCCAAGGAAGGTTTTCTAGAAAAAAATTGACACTGGTGTGATTCGTTGAAGGATGAGTAAGGGTAAGCTAGATGGAAAGGGCATTCTAAGAAGAGAGAACCTCATGACAAATGTCACAGGGGTATGGAATAGCATGGTGCCTGCAGGGGGGTCTTAGACAATTCAACATTACTAGAGGTCAAAATATAAGGTGACGAATGTCAGAAGATGAAGCTAAAGAATCAAGTAAGGGACTTGAGAGTATACCACACCATGGAATGAGTCTGCACTTGATTCTCCAGGTAGGGCCAAATCCCCTAAGATATTATTGCATTTAAAGTTGTTTTTGAGATCAGTGAAGGAGGGTGGTACTAATGTTCTATGGAGAAACTGGAGGAAGCATGGAGATCACAGATTGCTGACTTACGATATAAAATATTATCATTCTTTGGAAAGAAGTGCTAGTCTAATGGATATTTTGTTCTTTCACAGATAGCTTTAAAAAACTTGAATGCTACTTAACCAAGATTTTTTTTTTAAATCTAAGTACGTTAAATCCCTGAAGATCATTCACGACCTTTGATTTCTTAACTGGACGGGGTGGGGGGTGGTGGTAAGAGAGGGGATGAAAACAAACATGAAAAAAAATTGGCCCAGAAATTTTCTCCTTAAAAAAAAAATCCTAGATCTTTAAAGGAGGACACATGACAAAATGTCGAATAAATAACTTGTTTTTGTATTATTGTGATTTTGTGAACTCTAGAGAAAAGCTTTCCATGAGGAAATATTTTATGAGAAGGAAAAGTGATGAAAAATCAGGACAGCAATGAAATATACTTTGAATGGCTTGCTTCTTTAACTTCTAGGTCAAAAACTAGACCAAAAGTTGAAAGTCTTGCAGGCTACCATCCAGGTCCAGGGCTACAAGCTAGGAGGCAATAAAAAGGAGGTTCTTCTCTTTTCTGCCAGGGAAAACTTCTATCCTCTGCAAACAAAGATGGTTTGGTTCACTGTCGACGAGCTCTTCCTAATTTGCGCAGAAAAGCCGTATAATTTAAGGTTCTACTGAGTGTATTTAGAGATTCAGACAGTCCTGGGTTTGAGTCCCTGCTTTGCCATTATCTAGCTCTGTGACATTAGGCCAATTACTTAGGTTACTTAACAGTTGTGTACCTTAATTTACGCCTCTGAAAACAGAGATAATAACACCCGCCTTGTGTGGCTATCGCAAATCTGAAGTAATATAATGTAAATAAAGTGTTTGATGCAGTGCCTGGCACATTATAACCACGTAGTCATCAATAAACGTTAGTTATTACTGTATGTGATGGTTAATACTGACTGTCAACTTAATTGGATGGAAGGATGCAAAGGATAGATCCTGGGTATGTCTGTGAGGGTGCTGCCAAAGGAGATTAACATTTGAGTCAGTGGGCTGGGGAAGGCAGACCCACCCTTAATCTGGGTGAGCACCATCTAATCAGTTGCCAGCAAATATAAAGCAGGCAGAAAAACGTGAAAAGGCTAGACTGGCGTAGCCTCCTAGCCTACGTCTTTCTCCCGTGCTGGATGCTTCCTGTCCTTGTACATCAGACTCCAGGTTCTTCAGCTTTGAGACTCGGACTGGCTTCCCTTGCTCCTCAGCTTGCAGACGGCCTATTGTGGGACTTTGTGATTGTGTGAGTTAATACTACTTAGTAAACTCCCCTTTATACATATCTATCCTATTAGTTCTGTCCTTTGAGAGAACCCTGACTAATAAACCATATAAATGTTTCAATTATCTTTTTTAAAAGGCATTATGAAACACTGAAAATCTATGCTGAAATCAGCAAATTTCAATACAGCAAGGGAACATTTAGCATCAATATTTTAATTGACTCATTACAAAAACCCCATCCCCCCAAAAGAAGGTATTTCTTGACTTTTTTTATATTTAAGATATCCTAAACACTTTTATTCATGTTATAACTTCTGCCACAGCACAATGCACGTGTTGCTGAAATGTCTTGTTTTTTGTTCATCTTGTTTTTATTGAGGCAAGGTCTCACTCACTGTTGCCAAGGCTGGAGTGCAGTGGCGTGATCAGGGCTCACTGCAGCCTTGACCTCCTGGGATCCTTTGACCTCAGTCTCCAAAGTAGCTGGGACCACAGGTGTGCACCAGCAGGCTCGGCAATTTTTTTTTATTTTTTTTATTTTTAGAGAGATGGAGTCTCACTATGTTGCCCAGGCTGGTCTGGAACTCTTGGGCTCAAGTGATCCATCCACTCACATGATCATCCTTCCAAACTGCTGAAATCTGCATGCATAAGACGCTGTATCTGGCCTTGAAATGTTTCAATTCACTTACACGGGTAAAATGTGGGGGTAACAATTCGACACCAACAAATAACAGGAGACTAACATTAAAATAGATATCAAGGTCATCTGGCATATCTGCAGTAATCATTTCAATATCTGCATTACATTTAGCTCACATGAATGTTTAAAAAAACAACAAAACCTCTCTAAAACCTTATCCTTCCTATGATTCTGACTGTAGTTTTGTTTAGCACATTTTCTTTGCTCATGCAGCAAGGCATGTGTGCTCTTACCATCATTTCCTTCCCCTTTTGCATTACTCATTTCTCTTGCCCTCTGATTCACTCGTCTGCCTAATTTCCTTTCTCACTTCACTTCCCTTTCTTCCACTTCTTGGCCGTTATATAAATACTGAAGACTATGAATAATTGAATCACTGCTTGCTAAGTGACTACATATTTGGAAGAAAAGCAAATGAATATTTTTAAAATAAGCTACTTCTAAGTATTTCATATATGGTGATATCTTCTTCAAATTGACATTAAAATAATAAGCAACTAAGATGGAATTTTTACCATTAATAATTATATAAATCTTCAGGAAAAAGTTATATAGTGAGGAGAAGAGAATTGATCACAAACTTAAATGCAACTGCAGAAAATTAAACTGAAATACTAATTAGCCCACTTCATTTATCAGAGTTAATACACTCCTATACTTCTCAATAGCAGACTCTAATATATACAACTCCAGGATTAAAAACAAGCTATCAATTCAGGTTAAAAAAAAAAAAAAAAAAAGACTTCAAAAACGAAAATTAGAAAACATCAAGACTTTTATGTTTTCTTAACAGCTGATTTACTAATGACGACAAAGTCAAAACCACCAAAGTGAACTTCAAAGTGAAGCTGGAATAGGCAAGCATGAAAACTTCCGCATGGAAAGTTGCATTTGTCTCAAAAAGCAGAAGAAGCTGTGACTATATCTTACAGAAAAACAGTTTTAAAAAGTTTAAGACAAAAGTACTCTGATAAGTCATAAGAAAGTGGTTTAAGCACTATTTAAAAGTCACCACAATAATTCTCTGTCACAGAATTATAGGGATAATCTGACCCAACGTTCTTCAAACTCTGGGCCACTGACATTAGAATCACTTAGGCAACTTGATAAAAGTTTAGATTCCCAGGGGCCAACCAGACCAAGTGAATCAGACTCACAGGGCCTGGAGTCCAGGAATTTGCACTGAAAACTCCTGGTATATGTTAATCTTCTCAAAATAACAATAAAGAAATAAAGGACATACGGGATTAAGCTATGTAAAGCCTTCTAAAATTACTTGCTAAGCACCAGCCTTCTTAGGGACAATGGGAAGACTAACATTTTGATTCTTGGACCCTAAGGCCAATGTTCTTTCTGCTATATCATGCTGCTAATTAGACTTCTCAGATTTCAGATATCAAGGACAATTTAGAGAAATCCAGCAGAAATCTAAGCTAAGGTTCTGAATGGTTTCTAGACTCAGCAAAGTCCTTCCTGTGTAACACATTTCCTGCTTTCAGACCTGCTCTTTCCATATGGTAAGGCAGAAATGGTACGCTCAGGAAACCACAGCAAATATTACGAGATCATTTCACTTGAGAATTCATTCTACCACAGTGAAATCTGGTATTTGAGGTCTCAAACAAATACTAACATAGTACTTTGGCCACACTTCAAGGAGAAAAACTAAACAGCTAAGAAGGCGGGGAGAGAGGGCAGAAGGGAATATTCACACTAAATAAAATGTATGATTTAAAAGAATGCTCACAGATGCATCCAGAAGTGTTTGTTCCCTTAGTGTCTCCTCCTGTCTTTGAGATTTCAGCTCTTGCTGGAGGCTTTCATTTTCAAGCACAACTGCTTGTATTTTATTTTTCAATCCAGAGAGTTCCTCCTATAATAAGCAACATCAAATACATTAAGCATTATTAAGCAGTGTTTTTATTTGTTGATTAGAGGACCCAGCATGATATAAAGTATGGAAGACTTATGTTCTCCTTTTCCTGAAATATAATTATATTTAGACAAACAAGGCAACCTAAACATTAGCTAGATACCAAAGAGAAGGCTAAGGTATATAGTAATGGGCCTGCTGGTGGCATATCACAAAAGTGTGTCGTTTCTGACAATTTCCTTTTCTCCAAGGAATCGAGGCTCAAAGAAAAGTCTTAATTAAAAGAGTTATCCAAGAGATTTTAAAGAAGTAGACTCTGAAAAATGAGTTAAGACATATTATGACTAATGATCAAATACCATCAACTTGTTAAAAACTGATGGAAGATTAAATAGAGGGAGGCTCTGAGACAGAAAGGCATAGACAGGTGTGATGATTACCTATGAAATGGTAGCCAGATAGGAGAGAATTATAGTAAAACATTTCATGGAGAATTCTGAAAGAGTATTTCCTTGGCCTCACAGGATGTAATGTAAAGAATTAACAAATCAATAACAATTAAAATTACAAGATGTAACATAAGAAATTACAGGTCAACAATAATTAGAATAGCTATTGAGTGGACCTCAGTCGCTGGAAAAACAATTCAATAACATCAATATATCAATCATATAATACTTAACCTAATATTCATTACTAGTGTAATCACAAGCTATTGTACAACATGTGAAAATTCCCCTCAATTATTATTATTTTTAAACCCAAAGCTATAATAAAAGCTCAAATTAAAAAAATATTGTGGACTTTCATTTTTCAGTCTGGAATGTAATGAGCTTGGAACAGCTCACTCCCATCTTCACAACAGGAAAAACGTTGAACAAACTGGAAATCAACATCTCTTCTTAGATTCATCAGATAATTGAGTCACAGGGAAAACTGCTGCCCCAAAATTGACGAGACAAGTGGTCGCTGAGACACAGAATTTACAGGAGGAAATCAGAAACCTCTGGAGGAGGTAGAAAGTCTAAACTGTAATTGATGACTTGCTGGAAGCTCAGTGTCAACAAGTTTGAGAGTTAAAAATTCCGGGCTGGGCGCAGTGGCTTAGGGCTGTAATCCCAGCACTTTCGGAGGCCAAGGTGGGCGGATTACAAGGTCAGGGGTTCAAGACCAGCCTGGCCAATATGATGAAACCCCATCTCTACTAAAAATACAAAAATTAGCCGGGTGTGGTGGCGGCGCCTGTAGTCCCAGCCACTCGGAGGCTGAGGCAAGAGAATGGCTTGATCCTGGGAGGCCGAGGTTTTAGCGAGCCGAGATCACGCCACTGCCCTCCAACCTGGGTGACAGAGCGAGACTCTGTCCCAAAATAAATAAATAAATAAATTCCAGGAAGACCCAGTCATAGGAGGACTGCCCTGCTTCCCCAGTTTTATCTCCAGGACAGTGCCAGATTTTCACAGTAAAAACTAGAGAAAAATCCCCTTATGCAACCTACAGAAAGAAGAAAAGCAGCCAGTTTGAAATATGCTCAGCACGTTGTGTTCCTTGTAACAGGCCTGACTCAAGGGAAACGACTTTACCAGAGCCGAACTGACTGGGGGGCTGCCGTCACCTAACTGGCCTAAATAAAGAAATCCAGCTCCAGCCCCCTCTTGCATTCAGTGTGGGAGAAGGGGCCTCCGGCTTCCTCTAGCCTTCCCGTCTACCTTAAAGGGCAGGGGAGACTGAAAAGCACTTGTGAATGTCACAGCCCAAGGCAAAGGCTTATTAAAAGACTCAGATCTAGTCATAGGCCTATTGAACGCTTCCCTCTACTCCCACATCTAACGACCACATCACTAGGGCTCCTGTATACTAACAGAGAAATTCAACAGAAAGAACTGCATATCTCAGACTATATTTAGGAAGAATTCACTAGGGTAATGAAGAGACAACAGAAGAGACAAGACCAGGACATGGAAGGAAATTTTAGCCTCTGACATGTATAGTGACAGCAAACACAGCCTAGCTTCTAGCCAGATAACCATAAAAGCTCATGCTAAATGCCTACTTATCTCAGTTCCTTTTACCAAATATGTCATGTCCAGCATTCATCAAACAATTACAAGACATGCTAAAAGACTGAAACACAGTTTGAAAGGATTTAACAAGCATCAGAAACAGTCTCAGATAAAGCAGAGATGTTAAAATTATCAGAGCAGGAATTTAAAATAATTATAATTAAGGCCAGGCACGGTGGCTCACGCCTGTAATCCCAAGCACTTTAGGAGGCCAAGGTGGGAGCATCACCTGACCAAGGTGTTCGAGACCAGCCTGACCATCATAGTGAAACCCCACCTCTACTAACAATGCAAAAAAAATTCGCCAGAGGTGGTGGTGTATGCATGTAATCTCAGCTACTTGGGAGGCTGAGGCAGGAGAATCGCTTGAACCCAGGAGGCAGAGGTTGCAGTGAGCCGAGATCACGCCACTGCACTTGAGCCTGGGTGACAGAGTACGACTCTGTCTCTAAATAAATAAATAAATAAATAAATAAAATAATTATGGTTACTATGCTAAGGTCTCTAATAGAGAAAATAGACTATATGCAAGAACAGCAGAGCAATATAAGTGGAGAGATGGAAACTCTATGAAAAAGATGAAAAGAAAATGCTCAAAATCAAAAAACTATTAACAGACATGAAGAATGCCTTTGAAAAGCTCATCAGTAGATTGGACGTAGCTGAGGAATGCATTAGTAAACTTTAAGAATTGTGAATAAGAATTTCCAAAAAAGAAATGCAATAAGGAAAAAAACTGAAGACAGAAAAATTATACGAGAACTACAGTACAATTACAAATGGTGTAATAAATACATACAACAGGAACACAAAAAAGGAAAGAAAGGAAAAGAAGAAATATTTCAGTCAATAATGACTGAAAAATTTCCTGAATTAATGACAGGCACCAAACCACAGATCTAGGAAGCTCACAGAACACCAAGCAGGATAAATACCACCACAAAATACACTGAAGAATATCATATTCATACTGCAGAAAATCAAAGACAAAGAGAAAAATCTTAAAATAAGCCAAAGTAAACAAACAAACAAAACCGCAAAATCAGGCTGGGCGCGGTGGTTCATGCCTGTATTCCCAGCATACAGGGAATGTATGCCTTGGGAGGCCGAGGCAGGCAGATCACATGAGGGTCAGGAGTTTAAGACCAGCCTGGCTAACATGGTGAAACCCTGTCTCTACTAAAAATACAAAAATTAGCCAGGCATTGTGGTGGGCACCTGTAATCCCAGCTATTCAGGAGGCTGAGGCATGAGAATTGCTTGAACTCAGAAGGCCGAGATTGCAGCGAGCCAAGACCTCGCCACTATACTCCAGCCTGTGTGACAGAGTGAGACTCAGTCTCAAATAATAATAATAATAAAACAAAAATCAAACAAACAAAAAAACAAAAACCTTACCTATAAAGAAGGAAGGATAAGAATTACCTGGAATACTTTTCAGAAGCCATGCAAACAGGAAGAGAATAAAATGAATCTAATATTTAAAGTGTTAAAAAAAAAAAAAAAACCCACCAACCTAGAATTTTGGATTCAGCAAGATTAACCTTCAAAAGAGAAAGAAAAATATTTTCTTAGACCAACAAGAATTGATGGAATTTATTGCTAGCATATATGCCTCGCAAGAAATGTTAAAAAAGTTCTTCAGAAAGGAGAAAAGATGATAAGGTGAGAAACTGCCATCTACATAAAAAAAAAAAAAGAGTATTAAAGAAGGAGTAAATGGATAGAAAATATTTTCTTATTAATTTATTAGACAGATGACACTTTGTGTTCAACATCATAATTGCAATAGTGTTTGTAGTAATTGTAGTTTATGGATAACTGAAATTAATGACAGAAATATTATAAAGGATGAGAGAGGGCTTGGGAATTCTGTCATAAGGAATTTGTACTATTCAAGAAGTGGCACAGGGTTACTTGAAAGTAAAGTTAGTTATAAATATTTACTGCAAACTCTAAGGCAACCAGTAAAGAAAAAAAAAGACGAAGAAGTACAGTTGATCAACTGATATGTTAAGACAGGAGAAAAATGCAATCATACAAAAATTAGCTGGTTGTGGTGGCTCACACCTGTAGTCCTAGCTACTAGGAAGGCGAGGCACAAGAATTGATTGAACCCAGGAGGCAGAGGTTGCAGTTGGCCAAGATGGTGTCACTGCACTGCAGTCTGGGCAACTGAGAGAGACTCTGTCTCCAAATATAAAAAATAATATGCAATCATATAAAATGCTCAATCAAAGTTACAGAAGGGACAGGTGCCGTGGCTCACACCTGGTAAGTGCAGCACTTTGGAAGGCTGAGGTGGGAAGATCACTTGAGGCCAGGAGTTTGACACCAGCCTGGGCAACATAGTGAGACTCCATCTCTGCAAAAAACATAAAAATTAGCCAGCCATAGTGGCGCAAGTCTGTAGTCCAAGCTACTCGGCAGGGAGGAGGTGGGAGGACTGCTTGAGCCCAAGAGTTCTAGGCTGTAGTGAGCTTTGATTACATCACTGCCTAGGTAACAGGGCAAGGCTCTATCTCTTTTAAAAAGAAAAAAAAGCCAGAGAAGACAGAAAAAGAGTGAAAATTTTTTAAAGAAACAAAAAATAAAGACAATGAAAATAATAGTAACAAATATTTTATACATTGATCCAATCATAACAATAATCTCTTTAAATATAATGGTCTGAATATACCAAGTAAAAAATAGAGACTGTCAGAGTGGTTAAAAAAAGAAGAACAACAAACTATATGTTGTCTACAAGAAGCCTATAATAGCCGGGCGAGGTGGCTCACATCTGTAATCCCATTACTTGGGAGGCTGAGGTTGGAGGATCCCTTGAGCCCAGGAGTTCAAGACCAGCCTGAGCAATATAGTGAGACCCCATCTCTAACCAAAAAAAAAAAAAAAAAAACCTCAAAACAAAAAAAGAAGCCAACTATAAATACAAAG